AACAACTCGCAATTCGTATGTACAACAACAACAAAACATCAAGTATTTTTAGCTGTTAAACTGCGTCGTTTACACGCTGATAATAGTTTTCTCTCAATTGGATGTATGGATTTCAGCACCGGTGCCTTGGGACTGTCATCATCATTAACAGTGATGCCTAATTCATCCAATAACATTTTCATAATCTCATCTACACGTCCATTAATGACTAAATCTGTTTCGTTATGCTGAAATTGAAATGAGATGAACTACTGATCCGGTATTCTTTTGAACGGAAAATTTAATGGAAGCAATGATTCTCACAATGTTTAATAAAACTATTATAAATTATGCGAGTAATATGAATTATTGCGAGATAAATCAGAAAGGAACTCACATATTTGGTAGGTTGTAAATTAACTGTGACCATTTTGCCATTCACGTTCTTCTTTGCTTTCAACGGCAATTCACCGGAAGGCATAATCTGTAGCGTTGTTCCCAAACAAATACTCAGATCTGACATTCTGAAAATTGGTAAGAGACTGATGAATATTACAAATATTATCCAACTGGGAATGGAATCTGAATGGGTGAACTATGAAGTATACTTCAGAATCATATTCACTGAATTAGAAATTGATTTCTCGTGCTGGGTGATTTACTGGGAAAGAAGGATCATCCAGAATGGATAATGNTTTGAAGTCCTGTTCGGGCAAAGCATCTTCCCAATCCAGGCACATATCCGTTAGTTCACCTCTTCTACACGGACGTCCAAACTTGGTGCCTTCACATTTCCTTCCCGTTAACTTGAAACCAACACTACCGACTGCATGATCACGATAATATCGTCTGAAAGTGTCTAGTTGAGTTTTACCCGTCAAATGTAAATTGCTGTGAGTTGTTAGTGATATGAAGTAAGTTTGTATGTAACTGAACAGAAACGTATACATACCTATGACATTTATTGCACACCTCAACGAATACGTTACCATGCAACTCGGCTAGACGATTCAAAGGATAACCAGACCGAACATGAAGACCATCGACATTTTGTGAGATCACGAATCTAAAACTTGTTTGGAGTCGAGTAATTCAGAAGGCGAATATCCAACGAATGAAACAATAGAGAATCCAACTTGATGAGGTTGTATTTCTCGAGAGCGTTGATTGCGTGATGAGTGAATGTTGGTTTGGCCACATCAAAGTCGATGCTCTCGGCTTGTTCGTTTCGTTCTTCCAGTGTCCATACGCCTTTTGGCCCTCGAAAGTCCGGAATACCCGCAGCCGTACTTATACCAGCACCTGTGTGAATCACACAGCATTTACTTGACTTGATCCAATTGGCCAATTGTTTAATTTTTGCGATCAGCTCTTCTTTCTCATCGTAGTGCTGAAATAATTTCTCATTGATTACTTGCTTGACTCAGTGTACCAATAAGATCTTTTCATTCAACAATTCGGTCTCCATCGAAACAGATAGGAAAGCGTTTGCTTACGATTTACTATGTATTCAATACATTTTGCGCAAAATAACCATTTACTAACCTCAGGAAGTCCAAGTACGCCTTTATTTGCATAGGACGATAACGATGCGGCATAACTAGCCGCCATAACAACAATCTAACTTCAAAATTCCAATGTAATTTTGCAGAAAACGCTACTGACTACTGACTGGCCTAGAGACAGCAATATAAGAATTTCGACAAGGCGACTTATCAGAGCGTTTAGTTGGCGAAATGCCTTATTGCGCTTAAATAAGATGATGACTTAGAATTCGGCATTGAATTAGAATTTAATTGGAAAAATAATGTTTTGTTGTGGTTATGTGTGGATTATTCGTTAGTTTGTGAATTTACTTATTGTGGAGTGGTTATTTTCGATACTTTTAGAGAGCGCTTTCGATGAAACTGTAGTTGTAAAGTGTCGATTTCTTTCTGATTGTGAGTAATCTAGTTTTTAATTGCTCTGCTCACGCGGATTACCGATTTCAGGCTTGAAAGAACACCGAGAAAACGATGCAGAAATTGGACGTCATTCATAAGAAACTTCTTGATGAGTGGAAGAAAGAAGAAAAACGCAATCTAAATGTCGTTGGTGAAATACTTCAAAATGCAAAGGTAACTTNAAAGAGAATTAATTCTTCAGAATGCAATGAACAATGCTGATTCACTGAAAGGTCTCAGTGATGCTGCGCTTGTGACCATTCATCGTAAGTTATTCACACATTCCGCCTGTTCAATTCTTCCCGAAATGTTCGCCTGTGTAAGCTTAGCAAGTATCTGCTGCTCCCTGGATGAAATCCACGTAAATATCTACGAAGAACTGAAACTTCCAAGTTGTTGTATAATAATAAAGTTAAATGTTGATGGATTAAGGCGATGTGTTTGAAATTGATGCCCTGTATGCTACTCTTCGAGCCGATTTCAATGAATTCCATGAAGCGATCACCGTTGTGTTGAACTTCTATGACAGTTACAGGTAATATCAACAAGTATTTCGATAATACTCTTCGTTGTAATAGTTGCATTCTTGGTTATGAAATATCGGTGATGAAACATCTTGTCATATGTTTTGATTTGACCGATTTTAAACCGTTGATCTTATGAACTCTCGATAAGATGAAAACATTGATAAAGTTAACACTTGATTTGTAGTTCTGGTGGTGAGTCTCCGAATAAATACTTGATGATTGGGTTAAACTTGATGTATCTGCTGGCCACAAATCATCTTGCTGAGTTTCATATGGTACATTCTTTGATATATTTATTTGAAGGTTTGATTTGATGTGCAGTTGTTATTGCTCAGTTGCATTTTGCAGTTATTAGAGCAAGTCGATCAGTCGGTGCAACAAAACAATCCGTATATATCAACACCAGTCAAACTGGAACAATCACTTATCGAAGGTGTTTATAATAAGGTTCGTATATTGCGCTTGTTTTATTATT